TCGCCCGTCCCGGCGAGCGTGATTTTGGAAAAGACCTTTGTTTCAAAGTCTTTGAAAAGGGGGTCGGGCATCAGCACGCGGCCTGTCTCGTCTACGCTCTCGGAGAACTTGACGATGACTTGTGCGCCGGCTGGGCCACTGACTTGGACGCGAACCATGGTGGACATGTTCTGCCCTAAATCGAATGTCACGACCCCCTTCTCCAGCGTCTTCTTCGAAACCGGCTCGACCGTCTCGTGAAGCGTCACCGGCGGCTGGCTCTGATACCTCAGTTTCCCCCTCGGCCCCGTCACAGGCGTGGAGGCAATCCACTCCTTGTCATCGAACCCAGGCTTATCCCACCCATCAGGATACGATCTCAAGTCTTTATCCTCTGAGGCGTAAATATTCGCCAGCGTAGTAGCACTCTTCCTCGTCTTCCAATCCGGTCCCGAAACCACCGTCTCCCGACTCCCATCCTCATAAAACAGATGCAGCTCCGCAAAGAAGCACAGCTCATTCCCGTACCTCACGTACGTATTATCTTCATACATGGGCCAAAAGAAGCGATCGTCCCCGCCCTTATCGCCGGCGTAGAACCCGTTGCCCACGTGCGCGCCGACGACGTTGTCGCCCTGCGTCAGCGCGTCGCTGAGGTCGTAGGCGACGAATTGTACGGTGCGGTGGTAGTTTGTCCAGCCCGGGTCGAGGACGTGCGTCGATGCGGGCGAGCCGTTGCAGGAGAGGTTGAAGTGGCCCAGACCCGAGGCGAAGGCGATGGCGCGGGAGGGTTTCCGGAGGAGGTGGAGGTTTTTGCGGAGGTAGAAGGGTTTGTCGCTGCTGTCACCTATCCAGACTCCCTTCCAGCGGTTTGCTTCGTCTTCGAACCAGGTGCGGAAGATGAGGCTGGTATGGGGCATCTATTTTTTTTTCGTTCGTGTTAGAAGCCGGGAAGTTCTGAAACGAAGGATACATGTATGGACTGGACATACGTAGGTTTGGTTCATGCTGTACGGCGGCAGTAGCCTGCTTGATCTCGGGTACGCCGTGAAGAACTCGTTCACGTCGCTTGATGATGTTTGTCCATCCTGATCCCAGACGGTCACTTTCCAGAAGTGGAATGATGCGGACTTGAAGCCGCCCTCCGGCTTACAGAGTACGTTTCTCTGGGCATTGCTTTCGACTTTGCCCGAATCCCAGACAATTTGAGAGCTCGATCCATCATCGAGTGCTGCTGCGTTCAAAGCAACGACGATACGGTAGGCGCTCTGGGAAGCATGTTCGAGCTCGGAGTGAAGCACCCAGTAGAGGCGTATCTCATCAACGTCGATGCCCAGGGTTTCGTGAAAGGCATGGATGCCACACCGTGTCACCTCCATTGTAGTGAGCTGCCAAGGGTTGGGAAGGGACTAACGCTCCAAGGGGTATGACCTCACAGCCTCGGTCGAAAAGAAGTTACTGCGTAAAAGCAGCTTCTAGTAGCCTCAAGAAGTATTCGGTTCCCGGCAAGTCTTTAGAGAAGCGAGCTTCAAGGGTACATGTAGCTTCTATGAGTTCTATTCTGTTTCGGGCATGTTCCGCATGCTGTGCCTCACGAACAGAAAGGTTGTGGTCAGATAACTCGGGGTAGTAAAGTCATCAATGAACCGAAATGACCGAAGTTCGGTGCGTTGTTCTCTCGAGAAGAGTGGCAACTCTGGAGCTGTGAAACAGACTCCTCTCGGATCCAGTATAATTTAAAGAGCACCCGGTGGGCTGGTACGGGGTACCGTGGACGTCTTTACGCCGAGTCTTTTGGCCAAGGGACCAAGACCATGTGCCGGTGGAGACCCGGCCTTCGGTACTTGGATATTGAGTATTGGCACCGAGATGTCGCCGGAGTGGGGTAGAGACACCATCATCGAATCACAAGTGCTGATACGTTTATGTTGGTGTCGATCTGATGGCCTCTCGCTCGGAATTACCGACTGTGAGAACGGACTTTTTAGACCGGGTTTCCCGAGCGTGCCACACATTTATTTGGGGTTTGGCCGGCAAAGATCTCTGCCGCACCCAGAGTTCTGGACAAGTCGCTGTATCGCTGTCTGTATCCGTCAACGCTCCAGATCTCTGACAGAGGATTTCATCGCCTACAGTCCACACCTCGAGCGACTTGGAATACTCCAACGTTCAATCCAAAAACTTGACATGAGAGTTATCGATGAGGAACCCCCACCGTGCCGGTTCCGGACCAGGATCTCCACTTACCGAGCCTCTTTGAGCCTCGAACATCAACGGCCTCATCAGGCACGGTACGCGTATCCGCAGTAGTTTCCAGCGACTATGGTGCACAGCATGCCTAGTGGCTGCCCGAAAGAATCAACATTGAACACGCCACCAACCACCCTCGGTGATGTCGGGTTAAAGATGCAGCTTTGTCTGGGGTTGTTTGGGTTCGTGCGGAGGCCCCAGATTCTAAAGACCGCACATTCAGGGGGGGATCAGCCAGGTTCAGTACTGTTCAGATGCTGCCAAGACCCACTGGATGACACCTCGATCTCGTCGATTGGATGAACAGGGACACTCACCGGTGGTGTTGAAAGCTGACAAGCTCGGTACTGGATGTTGGTCATCTCATTGAGCTCCAGCTGTATTTTAACCTTAATGTCCCTCCCGGGTTTTCTGCCCTCAAAAGGTTTTGATTTTTCGTTTGTCTATCGGTGACAGCTGTGACTGTTAACAACATACGACAATCATGGGTCGCCTCACGACGGTGTTGTCCGCCGTCTTCCTGGCCATTGGAGGTTTCCTCTTCGGCTATGACTCCGGCATCATCACCTCGACGATCGCTCTAGATACGTTTGAAAAGTACTTCAGCCACCCATCAGATACCGTCGCCGGCGGCATCGTGTCAGCCTTTCAAGGCGGTGCCATCTTCGGCACCATCGTCAACATGCTCTTTGCCAACAAGATCGGTCGGCGAAACACCATCTTCGTCGGGTCTGTGATTTCGTGCCTCGGCTCCGCTCTGCAGGCCGGCGCCGTCAACATGGTCATGCTGATCATTGGCCGCTTCATCGGCGGTGCCGCCGTCGGCATGGTCACCTCGACGATTCCCATGTACGCCTCTGAGCTGTCGGAGGCTAAATACCGTGGTATCTTGTCCGGCTTGCTGCAGTGGATGTTGAGTTGGGGATTCTTGGTTGCCCAGTGGCTTGGATACGGATGCTCCTTTGTCAAGACCGACTTTTCTTGTAAGTCTCTCTTCCATCGTCCAAGTATCTGGATATCCACTCAGAGTCACTGCAACACGAATCGTAATGTAAACTGACAACTGGATAGGGCGATTCCCCCTCGCCTTCCAGGCTGTCCCCGGTGTCATCCTCGTCACCGGCATCTACTTCCTCCAGGAATCTCCCCGTTGGCTGATGGAGCGAGACCGGCACGAAGATGCGCGTCGATCACTCGGCAAACTCCGAAGCGGCCTGGACGAGGAAACCATCGATCTCGAGTTCCGCGAGATTCGCGACGTTATCCTGGCGGACCGTGCCCTGGGTAACATCTCGTGGAAGTCCATCATCACCAAACCTTCGTGGCGCAAGCGTCTCTTGTTGGGCTGTGGCGTACAAGCCTTTGGACCTCTCTCAGGTAAGCATGTCATCTATCCAACGAATTACGTCGAAGCGTAGGACTAACGCCGATTGCCAACAGGCATCAACGTGATCAACTACTATGGACCTCGCATCTACAAGATCCTCGGCATCGATACCCAGACTTCTCTAATGATCATCGGCATCAGCGGTGCTTTGTCAATCGTCTACTGCAGCATTGGCCTGTGGCTCCTTGACCGCGTCGGTAGAGTCAAGCCCCTCATTGTCTCCGCAGCCGGTCTCGGCGCTGCCCTGCTTGTCAACGCGGTACAGGCCCAATATCTCAACGAGAATAACGCCAACCAGTTGCGTAGTATGGTGGCCATGAACTTCGTCTTTAGCATGTTCTATACTCCTCTGGGCATCATCAGCTGGGTGTATCCCGCTGAGATCTTCCCCGTCGAGGTCAGAGCGCTCGGAAACGCCATCACCACCTTCACCAACTGGACCGTCAACCTCATCTTTGCCCAGATCTCCCCGGAAGCGTTGACAAATATTGGATTCCGCTACTTCTACGTGTTTTTCGTTTTCAACCTGATCGCCATGATTTGCTACATCTTCTTCTTCCCAGAGACCAAGGGTAGAACGCTTGAACAGATGGATGAGCTCTTTGGGGACCAGCTGGTGCCTCATGCCATGCAGGACTCCGTTGGGGCTGCTGCTGCTGTTGCCAAGGACGAGAAGCTTGTGGAGCAGCTCGATCATGTCTGAGAACGGTCTTCGAGGATAGGACGAGCTTTGGAGTGTTTGCGATACTCCAAGGGTCGCAACTTGATCGCATGAATGTTGATAGGAAAGGTGGTGGCCCATGAGAAACACGCGACCTGTCGATTACGTACCTTACTTAGGCACGAATGTTCTCATATTAATGAAGGGAATACAGACTGTTGACTGCACAGGTGCGATTGCAGGCTTTGCATGATAGAATTACCAACGTGACAGAGAGTGGCATCAATCCAAGGCGGAGTCACGCGCTCGCGTCTAGACCGAATGACATGATAGTCATCCCACGGTAGTACTGGTAGCTTTGGCTTACGTAGGCCAACGCCAAAGCATGAATAGCCTACACCACATTGTTCGCCAATCTAGGCCTAGTGATTTGTCGGGGTGATCTGGCTGACAGGATTCAAAGACTCCATTTCTGGGCCATGCCCGAATAGGCAAACAAAGTGGTCTGGACATAAGTAAGCAGATGCGCTGCGAATTGCCAGAATTAACGGCATTATATTTGAAAGAAAGATACGGAATGCCTATAAAAGTCAAGCGGATCGTGAGGCAGTTTTCCTGGTTCTATTTCTGTTATTGACACCTCAAAAATAAGCCGAGCTTCACACGTCATTCGAGCACCTTAACATAACAACCTTAGTCCCGCAATCACTCTACACTATCACGATGGTCGGCTCTAAAGACCTCCCACCATCAACTCTTTCCTTTGGACGCGTCTTTTACAATAACCAATTCTGTGCCAAGCCACAATGGCCGGCCCCGGGCACCAGTCTTTCCGGTAAAACCGCGATCATCACGGGTGGAAACACGGGCTTAGGCTATGAAGCCGCGCTTCAGCTGCTAGATCTCGAGTTATCCCGCTTGATTCTAGCTGTACGCTCACGCGAACGGGGCGAAGAAGCCGCTTCAAAGCTCCGTCGCCGATATCCCGATGCAACGATCAGCGTGCAACTACTCGATATGACGTCTTACGAGTCTGTCCAGGATTTCGTGCGTCGCATTGATACCGAGTTAGATCGCATCGACATTGCTCTTCTCAATGCCGGCGTGATACGGATGGACTTTACCAAAGTTCCCAGCACTGGCCACGAAGAGACAATCCAAGTCAACTACTTATCAACCGTGCTCCTCGCCATACTCCTTCTCCCTGTTCTAAAGGCCAAACGGCAGAAAAACGGCGACCCCGCGCGTCTTACAATCGTCAGCGCCGCTCTAACATTGGTAGCCACCTTTCCCAACAGAGGTGCAGACCCTCTTCTCCCATCCTTTGATGATCCCAAGGTCTTCGCCATCCACGGCCGGGAGGCCTACAATACGTCGAAGCTTCTCGCTCACATGTTTCTCTGGAAACTGGTTGACCATATCTCGGCCGACGAAGTGATTGTCAACCTCGCAGATCCAGCGTGGTGCAAAGGCACGAATCTAGCCCGCGATGCTCAGGGCATCATGAAGTTGGGGGTCTCGGTGTTTGGGGCAACGACTGGACGAACGCCGCGAGTAGGCGCCTCTTGCTTTGTTGATGCCATTGTCAACAAAGGCAAAGAGTCTCACGGTTGCTTCCTTATGAGCTGGAAAATTCATCCGTACGCTTATCTCAATCATGCGTTGCCTCATTTCATGCTGACAAGCTCCAGGTTTGCTGCGTTTCTCTATACCACCGAGGGCAGCATTGTCATAGATCGTCTTTGGGAAGAGACACTTAACGAGCTGGACTTTGCGGGCGTTCGACCCGTCTTGAAATCTTTATAGATTTGTTCTTGTTTGTTTGCTCTTTCCTAGAAGTTGTATTATCGCGGGTGGTTGTAATTGGTTTCCAGGCGGTGCTTGAGTCGGCAACTTGGTCGAGTGCAAGACGAAGCCAGCCTACCTGCCTGCATATACGTTGCCATCTAAAAATCCACACCCGGGCTTCCTTTAGCCAATCTTTACTATTCTAGCCTTGGTTCTTCGTAGCAAATTTTTATTAGTCGCATGCGCGTCAAAATGGCGATAAATCCCGCCGATAAAGCACTCGGACAAGATGCATCAAATCGAACTCGATTGTTGTACGTAAAGGTTGGATTCTTCTAAGTCTCTATCTTATGAGATGGGGCTTATCTGGATTACAACAAAGATAACGGGATCTAAAGGGATTGTAGTCGCCGGTCATTCCTGCCAAAATGACAGAGAGTTGAGAGTGAAGTTATTGTTCTATTCATCGTGCCCACTTAACTCTTTCGGAATGTATATTCCGCTCGGTGGGGGTGGATCGTGCCACATGAGTCTGAGTGACCTTTGCGGGGTGAGATAAGCCGGCTCAATGGAACAACAAAGATAGTTCCCGATAGCTGGGTCACAAAGCCGATGTTCGGACGTTGTTGAATAATTGGCAAATCATGAAGGGCGTTGATCTTCTTTTCATGCCAAGCAGTAGGAGAGATGCTCTCATTCCGAGGCGCGGGGTCTTAGCGAAGTACCTAGGCGGGGAAAAAGACAGGCCTGATAACATGCATGTCTTATCAGTGGAAATACCTTCACGCCGTCATTTGACAACAAAGTAGCTTCATGCAAGCTTTACGTTCACCTTGATATCTTCCTAGGCATCGTCGCGGAGGATAGTGAGATACATCAATCATGGAACATTTATATCCAGAGAGTGTCGCGTTCCTATCGCCATGGATACTACCAAGCTTCCTAGGCAACTCGTCGCAAAGCATCTCAGAGTTCTACATGCTTGACATCCTTCCGATGGCAGCTCGAGCTCTCCATTTCGTGTGTCTCGCGGGCATGGCCACCGCTCTCGTCGAAAGGAGTCCCCTTATTTTGACCCAAACCATCAATGGCTTAGATCAAGTCTTTCAAATCGGCAACAAAAGCTACTTGGCAACGCCCACTTCACCACTCGCTCTCGCAGCCGCAAATCCCAAAGCAACCACCGCCCCTGCAACTCATTTCGTCGCGAATACCCCAGTCATTAGTGTGCAGTACCTCCAAGATACGATTGCTCGCTACCTCGCAGAAGACGATGTATTCTCGGAGGACTTCCTTGAGACAATCATCTTGAGCTCCAATTGCTCTTCAAGACTTGATGATGCTGCAACAGCCTTTGTGGCATCTGTTGGGTCGCAAGTTCTCATGCTACCAGCTTCTTCCCAACTTGGGTCGCCCATGCCGCCTCCCGGCCCGTTATTCCTGGAGTCTAATGGCAGGACGGTCACGCTATCAAAGGTCTCCCGCCTCTACACGGATACCCATAGTGACTTTGTCCACGGAATCTACGAATCCAACGGGACTTACAAGGTTCTTGGCTTGACCGATGCTGATTGGGGCTACCCCTTGATTCCAGTCCCATCCCGCCTCTATAGCGGAGCCAACTCTGGGCCACTGGCCGGGAAAAGAATTGGCGTCAAGGATATCTACGACATCAAGGGACTCAAGTCCACTCTAGGAAGCAAAGCATGGACGCAGATGACCACCGAGGCCAACGCAACTGCTCCTTCTATCCAGCGCATCATTGACCTCGGCGGGACCGTCGTAGGGAAGCAGAAAACATCTCAATTCGCTTCCGCGGCTCACGCATGGGAGTGGACCGATGTGTACTACCCTCAGAACCCCCGCGGTGACGGATATCTCAGTTGTTCGGCGTCGTCTGCTGGCGGTGGTTGTTCCATTGCCGCATACGACTGGCTCGACTTGGCCATCGGGTCGGACACTGGCCAGTCTATGCGCCAACCGGCGGCGTTCTCGGGAACGTTTGGAAACCGCCCGTCGCAAGGACTCATGGTCTTGGACGGAGTCATGCCTATTTCATACGGTGCCGACACGGGCGGTGTATTTGCACGTGATCCTCTGGACTGGGTGAAGTTCGCTAAGCTTTGGTACGACCCTTCGCTTCACCAAGATAGCAGCCTCAATGGGCTGCCCGAGCTTGAGGTTCCAGATTCTCGTGCGTTTCCGAAGCGGATTCTGTATCCTACCGACCACCTTCCGCTGCAGAACCCGGCTGCTGAAGCCGTTCTACAGAGCTTCCTAGCCCGCATCAGCAAGGCCATGGACTTAACGGTGTCGAAAGTCAACATCACGGAAACAGTCGAGACCGTCACTGGTCGAGATCTTGGCGGGATCCTGGCTGATCTAGGTACCATCTGGACCTACACACAGCTCAAAGTTGTGGCAACACCTCTGATTGCACACTACAGCCCTGATTTCCCTTCCCTGGATAGGCCGTACCGAACTACCTTCCGGGATTTTAACCTAGACGCCAAAGGTCATACCGAAGCGCTTGACCGCAGACGCCAGGACTCCGACGCCTGGCATCGTGAGGTGTTGTTCAACACGACCGAGAGCTGCTCCGAGTCCATCATGATTTACGACATTGGTACAGGTGGACTTCCCTCCTTTAGAGAGGCCGAGTTGAATGATTCCCCCGGCGCTGCCTTGCCTGACGGTCCTGGAACTCGAGGAGCTGCTTCTTCCCTTGCGTCTTACTTTGGAAGCGCAGACTTCACCATTCCGATTGGTCAGGTGCCTTACTACAGCAACGTCACCTACCGAGAAGAAATGATGCCAGTGACTGTCAACATCGTGGCCAGGAGGGGTTGCGACTTTGTCTTGTTTAATCTGGTCGAGGAGTTGACGAAGCTGGGAGTCTTGGGGCCTGTTACTACTGGTTCGCGAACCTTTGTATGATACATGTGTCGTTTGTTTTCCACTATGGAACTAAACTGAGGTCCTTCCTGCCAATGCCTCTTCTTCCATTTCCCCAATAGACAACGCCCGCGAAACACAAAGAATCATCTCTAATCATTCCACCGTCTTCTTCAATGGCTTCAAGGGTCCAGCCCAATTCAGTGCCAATCATAGTCATCTGGGTAAGCACCAGGCAGATTCTGATGCGAACCCTCGCCGTAGGAATAGCCAATCATGGGCTGAAGATCAGAGCCAGGCACTTCGACAAGTCCAAGAACAATCGAGGCCTGTCTCTTTTCCCAGCACGCCACCAAAGTCTTCTTCTCCTGCACCTTCATCCACTCGCACTTGTTGCGGCCCTCTTTGAACTTTTGCTTCTCGTGGTTGAGAAGCCAGGTCTCGGCATTCTTGGTCAAGGGAGTCTTAAGCGTCTTGACGCTCACAATGTCGTAGAGTTCGCTTTTGTGATCTTGGGTCGGGGGAAGTCCAGCTTCCATTCTAGTCCCTTGCGGGAGAACTAAGCTCGGCGACGGCATTTGCTTTGACGACTGCAGTCCATAGAATGCCATATCAGCTTTAATATCGACGCCCTGGGAATGATGTGTTAGCATGTAGACTCGGGCGAGTTGGAGAAGGTACTGTGAGTTACCTGCTCGGGTTCCTGGGCTGCGGGCCAGTCGAAGAAGGAAGGAACGGTTGGAGACGTCAAGTCGATTGGATCATGCTGGGTTGTGATCAGTGCATTGGGAACAAACGTCTGAAATGGTTCCGTTAGCAAACATTGGAGACTAAGGTATCTTGTCAGTTGTGGGTCTTGCCTCTCTCATAGGCTCTGTAGTAGAATTGAAGCCAAGTAATATGCTCGCCGTGGCGATGCCACGCATGGGGCTGGATTCAGTTGCCTGTTCAAGACCAACCACTGCTGTCAATGGATGAGAAGAGCGAGTCGGCTGATGCTCGCTCAAGCCATGGTGAGGACACTGCGCCATGCCGCCCTGTGGAAGTTGGTGCTGTTGAAGCTGCTCCTGGTCGTCCTCAGCCTTAGTCTCAGCCTGTTCTTTACGAAGCTTGTGTCGAGCCGATGATTCTCTTCTCTTCCTGCGACACGGCTCGCATTGGCTCCGCTCCTTCGTTAGACCCATATTGGTCATAGAAGAGAACTCCGACTGCGGCTTGGGCTTGTGGCACTTGGTACACAACTTCTGGCTTGAGGATGGTTCACCAATGACTGAGGCTGAGGATGCGCCATTCTCGTTCAGAACGGGCGGTGTAGGTGGCAGAAGGAGCGATGCCGGCAAAGGAGGCAAGGCACTGTAACCCGGCGCAATTGGCGGAGCGAACAGAGGAGTCTCTGCTGTGGGAGCCGAGGAACATGGCATTGTTGGAATCAGTCGGACGGGTACACCAGGGTTGATCGCGGAGATGGGAGCTCTCTGAGTTGAAGAGCTTCTTCGAGAGGAAGAGGGCTTTGAGGCTTTTCGTGAAAGCCGTCTCTGCACGGGTGTCTGCGGTCTGAAAGGAACGTCCAAGGCGTTGTTCTCGATACCAAGCACCTGATGAGGCAAGTGAGGCACTTGTGAATTCGAGGTCGTGCTCTGCGCCTGCGCAGGAGCATCGTTGGCGTTCGGCAGGTGCTTTGTGCTCATTCCGGGCAAGCAGAGAGGGATCGGATCTCTGGCAGCAAAGTAAGGCTCTAACGTTGCTGAAGTTGGAGGAGAGCCAAAGAGCGACTCGTCGTCGAAGTCCATGACTTGGTGATTGGAGGAGGAAGGATTGGGGACTGAGATTCAAAGACTCACGATCGGTTGTGTGAAGTGAAAGGGTTGGTAGGAAAGGAAAGGTTGCGATATAAGGGCAAGAACGAAGAAGAACAGGTTGAAGGAGACGGTTGAGAATATTTCCACGAAAAGAAAGGAGCGACCGTGAAATATCTAGAAAGGAAATGAGGCAGAAGCCCTAGACCAAAGTGAAGTGAAAAGGCACGATTTCATCTGGAGTTGTTCGCTAAATTCAAAACGTCAATCACGTTTATGTCGCTCCTTCCTTCAACTCTGAGGAATACTCGGGCGTTCCAGTCGGTGAGGGAATACACGAGTATTCAGGTGCGAATAGGTTCCGGAACAAAGACTTGGTATCAAGCCCCTGCTTGATATGATTACATCGACTTCGTCAAAGACACATGTTGATTCTTATTGTTGAATTGTGAGCTCCTTGTCTCAAGTCATAGCTCAACTGAAGCCTATGCTTGCTTTCATCTGACAATAGCTGGAAACGTTACAGCTATACAGAAACTGCATTTAGAATCCATGCGAAACCGTGAATTGCATTCTTTCAAGAGTCCGAGCATCAAGTCGAAGAAATCCGTATTCATCTTGGTCAAGTAAAGATATCCATTTGTTCTGAAAACTCAGGTCAATACCACCAGCCACTTAAGGGATATAGCATATAAAGTAAGTGTTTTCAATTCCAGCGAACAGACTGAGGGCACTATCTAATACCTTGGCTCTCAGTTCAACTCTGTCCTTTCCGACTCCCACAAATCTTCGTCAGGGGGTGGGCAAGTGCGGATCGAGGACAAGGACATTTACTGATGATACAATGTGTTGTACCAGAAACTTGAGTAAGTATATATTGTCTCTCATCGTATACAACCTTTCCTTCAGACTGCATACCTTATCTAACATGTAAGTAGTAATTACTTGCTAGTGGTCCGATCTCGTGCGTTCCTAGTATCAATGATATTATCAAGCATTGCTACGTCGATCTTTTCAAAGCCCCATTTTCCATTAATTTGGATGGCAAACAAAATAGAAGAGCTTACATTAAGTGACTGGAGCTTCGTGTATATGCGATCATATACGGGTCTCTCACTTGAAAGAACCAAGCGACTTGCTATGATATGTCTTCAACTTGTTTCTCCACTTTATAATAATCAGTCTCTCCATCAAGAATCGTTGTTGGAGCTCAACTAATTCAGGGAGGTATCGGTCAGAAAAGGCAGAAAAAAGTTCTTACTCCGGGAACTATTCTTAAGCAACTATTGGTGTGTATTTGGCAGGATACTTCCATCTCCAACAAACTTTACACGGCATTCAGAGTTGGCCAATTGTCCAGTTTTAGTACGATGCAGCCCTCAATCACAACAGAATCCAAGTCTAGTAGAAACTCGTGGTTCCAGCATTAAGTTAGCACATAGAAATAACCAGAATTCAAATTTAGTCTGGCAAGATGAAAACAATATCGCCATATTTAGGTTTCTATTGTACGATTACAGACTGGTGTGGTTTTGTCTTGAGCCTCCTAGAAGCAATGGTGCATGTGGCAGTAGTAGGCTCTGACGGGCCAACCCGCAGGAATGCTGATGTTTGCGGAAAGTCGCTGGCTAAAGTCATATCAATTGAACGATGATTCATGCCATTTACCATCACTCGGTCCTTTCCGTGCTCTGTTCGAATGTTATGGTCAGCGCTTCATGATGTCACCATTCTTTCACTGGCGCAGAAACGTCATTCTGGCTAACCACATGCTGTGCGCCAAAGATGACGCGCACAACGATTCAAAGTGTATAAGATCTCACCCCAAGAACCTCCAAAAGCCCTTGTCTACATCTCCATCATCCACTACATCATGAACAGAATTGCCCTCAGACACACTAAGCTTTTCGCTGCATCAGTACCCAGAGTCAGAGCCATGTCGTCCCAGAACCCCATTCACAACGCTGCCGAAGCCGCCGGTCAAAAGAAGGACACCAGCCCATCCAAGCCTAGCGTCATCTCCTCAGAGGGCGCCATTGGCAAGCAATTCAACCCTGATGGCAACATCGGTCAGATCGGTAAGTGCTGTAACCAATATGAGACATGACCTCGGTTCTAATTTTTTCTTAATAGGCGAAGCTGTTGGTGGCCCTTTCTCGAAGGATGGTGCTATCGGAAGCCAGTTTGACGCAAACAAGGGGGGCATTGCAGGGACAGTGGAAAAAGCGGTTGATGGTCCTCGTAACCCAGCGAAGAAATAGCTACAAGATGTAGTCGATTGAATGTTTTTTCTCGGTGCAAACTCAGATACAATCATCTATCTTTGAATTCGCCATCGAGAGCTTGCCTTCTGTGTTTGCAGTTTGAGCCATGCGCACCGAGAGAAGTGCTGCCTTTACAAAGTGCGGATGTTAGTAATTTAGAAATTTCAAGGATGTCGCGAAGCAACACACTCATGAGTGTAGTGGCCTGGGTATCGTTTCTCAGCCTGCAGAATGGTAAGCGCCCGGTGAACGCGACTATCTCGCGCTGGGGTATGGAGGGATCCAGGTCAGGCATTAAGACATGCATATCCTCAAACATGTAATACCAAGTCATGTCTCTCATCTGTCGCAATCGGATTGATGAGATTCGATAGAAACTCCAACAAATGTCTCAAGCACCACGCCATTTCAAACGTGAAAATCAATTGTCTACCTGTATGGGGGTTAAGAGGTTGGTCTCCCGGCCACCGCCATTGAAGTAATGATCACTAGAGCGTAAGATATAAGACCCTCCGATCCTCCACCAAAGTTATCACTCGCACTTGTCTCTTACACCTTTCCCAAACTCCTTCTTCATACCCTACCTCTCTTCACATCTTGATTTACCTCCCGTTACGACCGATAGTTATTACCGCTTGCCACATTCACGATGCAAACCCAGCAGAGCGAGAAGGTCAACAGAGCAATGCGTCTCATCAACTACGAATTCAATGATACCAACTGGCTCTGGGAGGCCCTCCAAGCGCCAGGATCTGGAGTTCGAATTGCCGGCGATCGTCGTGTTATCGACGGTAACAAGATCCTGGCTCTCTTGGGAGACAAACTTATCGGGGCCTTTGTTGTGGAACCAATGGTCAGCCGTAATCTCGCGGTCAGGGGTGAGTTATTATTCGACAACGAAGTTTCATTCATTATCGATTCATCCAATAAACTAACACGATAATGCTAGGCGCCATCGACACCCAAGTTCAGCGGGCTGTCAACAATGTCCGGCTGGCGGAAACTTTTGATACGTTTGACTTTTCACAGTGCCTCAACGTGAATCCATCCCAGGGCTTGGCCATTGGTGCTCGGACTAAGGCCGATACAATCGAGGCCATCATTGGTGCTGTTTATATGGATGGCGGACTCGATGCTGCCAGACTTGTGGCAACGCACCTCCACATTCTTTGATATCGGTAATGTTAAAACCTCCTGTCCCCTTGAGCTAACGATCAGTAGCCTGCCCAGACCAAGAGGAAACCTGGAAGTCCCGCATTGGGGCACCGAGGGATCCAAACGGAGATCCCATGGGAACAATGCGCTTGCGCGTCTCTTGTCTTCGCGGCAGATCCAGCGAAGAACATCGAAGCAGACTGGGGTCAGCTTGGGTGTTGCATTCTTCTCTCAAGATCTGCTGCCGAGAGAACCGACCGCCGTGTTCCTAGGGGATTCCGTATGGGGCCCTTGGTGCCCCGATGCGGGTGTTCTGGGCTTCCTCTTGGCCAGGGGCCTTATTGCGGAGTGAGCGGGTACCCCAGGTCGCTCACTTACGCAGTCTGCGGTTATAGACCGTGATGAGTTCGACAGTATATGTGGTTGGAGGGACTCTTAGTCTAACTCACTTTTCAGCTCATCTGGTGATGGATAAGGTCGCTGTTCGACGTGGAGAGGGAATGGCACGGAAAAAGGGATACATACATGCAAGGATTGGAAGGCGGAAGAGCAATGGGTACAACGAGCTCTGATTTGGATCACTCTTTGGAAGGAAATGTCTTTGTTCGGGGCTATTGGTTCGGTACACGTGGACTCCCCATTTTCTGTAATTTGCACTCTACATCATCCCCCTTCCCTTACTCCTGAGCTCGCGTCAACACTCATTTGACAACATCCCGATTTCACCAACACTCAAGCTCTCAATACACCACTTCGCTTCTATGTTTCGCTGTTCCAGTTGTGCAATGTAGCCATGAAATCGCTGGTCTTACATCTGGGATGTCTTCAAACCAACATTGAAATCTGCACCTGACCAGTATCCAAGGCTTACAACCCTAGGATGGCGATGCAGCCGACTCAACTTGCAATACTCGTATTGATTCTGCTTTTTAACCTTGCATCCGATGCTTCAGCAAACTCAGAGTTTAGAATTTAGCCCGTCAAGGTCGCACGTTACCTCATTGACCAAAGGCTTGGGTATCAAACCTAATCCAGGGACCAAGAAGATCGCGAAACCGAGCTATGGATAATGCTCCAACTGCGTTGCAAGCATAGTCTTGATAGAGCAAAGACAATTCAGGCATTCAAGACATACGACGTCTCCCGACAAGGCAACCCAATTTCACATTCGCCGCGCAGGCTTCCATTAAAAATTGAAGAGCAGGATGATGTGAGACAAAAGTACAAGTACATCACACTGCCCGAGGCGGAATAGATGCCGATCAATGATACGCCCCAGCCTGCAGCTCCCAGGCACGTCCGAGCCTCCCGTCCCCCTACCGAAACCCAGGATTCGATTGGACTTTGATCAAAGGCCAGGGTCAAATAAGTTGCACAACGGCATCTTATCGGAGAAAAAGAGGTTAAATGAATGCCAAAGGTGCCTCAAATCTGCCTCCCCCTTCGAATTGTGTGGTCGCAAACCTCATCCCCGCCAAAATCCCTACTCAGCTCCTCGCGGGGAGGCGGGGCGAAAGCGGGTACAGGACGGGGCACCACACGGGACTCGGGGCCGGTAGGGCTTGGAGATCGATGGGTTCTGCACACCCCGCTGGACGTACGTCGGCCGGATCCTTCCAGCCTGCATGCTATTGTCTTGGCCTCGCTCCTTGGTGAAGTTTCTCCACCTCTCTCTACGACTACCTTACACTGTATGAAGTAGCATTGCCCTGGCCCATCTCACTCGCATATCATTAGATGCCAGGTTATGGGGCTCCCTAGTCAAGGCAAAGCAAGTCACTTTCGGTTTCTAGGAATTTGGAAAAGGATATGAGCCGACATGGTGAGTAGCCAGGTAAGTTCAATTCCATGTTGAGCCGGATAGCGGGAGCCCAGGAAAGGATGCCAACCCCGCAGCATCAACGGCACATAACGCTAGTACTCTGTACTAGTTGACCAAATGTCTTGACATACGTCGCTCTCGAATCCTGCGCCATCAACTCGTGGCACCATTGCACTGTACCTGTCTTGCCTGTCTCTCAATCACTATCCGCTCGGCAGCTGTGCCACCTCCAACATCTGATCTGCAAGAGCAAGAAGCCTTGCTGAATTCCAAGCATTGGACCTGTCACCTGTTCACCGTGCCCATTCACCTGCGTACCCCAAAACCAAGCTTCCCCCGTCTTCCTTCCCCGCCATCTTCGCCCCGAAACTTCAATATGCCTTGCCTAGAGAGAAGCACAAAAAAGAAGCCTAAAAGAACAAATACAACATCCAATCCGTCCGGCTCGCTTCCTCGCCAAGAGCATCCACGGCACGCCTCGCTTTCGCCCGGTCTGACACCTCGCGGTGCGATGACGCACGATTATGGCGCAAGCAAAACCTATATGCCTGCTTAAATGGGAGCCAAGGTAGGCTGAGCCGGCTTAATTGTGTTCATTCGCAAGCGGCTTGATCATGAGGTGCACTTTGTTGGGCTGGGCGAGAGTATATGAGGTCTGGGGCATCTCCGATAGTTAGCGGCTGGAAGGCGACCCCTTTGGTCAAGTCTATCAAGTACCGACCAAGCAAACTTCGATTGGATTTCAATTGAGAAATTTTGCTTCCTGGTTTTCGTTGTTGTTGTTGTTGTTGTGAAGTACGCGGCCTCACGATGCAGCTGACCCTCCCTCTCCTGACCCTCCTCGCCGGAGTCTCGGCCGCACCAATTAAGGGCCTCGACCGCGCAACGATCCAAGATGAATACGACTTCATCATAGCAGGAGGTAATAAACGCTCTCTTTTCATACGCCCATAATAATCCAGGCGGCTAACTCACGCTTTCCCCATCGAAGGCGGCACCGCCGGCCTAGTCCTCGCAAACCGCCTCTCCGAGTCCGGCAAACAGCGGATCCTCGTCCTCGAAGCGGGGCCGAACCCCGAGGTCGTCTCGGCCTACAAGCCGCCCGGCGGCAACCAGTTTCTCGGCGGGACCGCCATCGACTGGTCCTTCTACACCACCCCGCAGGAACACCTCGACGGCCGCATCCTTCGCTACCACCGCGGTCGGTGCCTCGGCGGCAGCAGCGTGACCAATGGCTTCTACTACGGTCGCGGCAGCTCGTCCGTCTACGATGACTGGGTCAAGGTAGGGAACCCGGGTTGGGGGTGGGATGATGTCTATCCTCTGTTTGTAAAGGTAATCCCCACGTTCAGTTGTTAAGGCTATGATGTTTGGCACATTTTACTGACGCGATAACAGGGTACGCACTTCAACCCGCCAACGGACCACGAAGTCCGAGGCTTCGACGTCTCCTACAAGACCCACGACCCCTCCGCCTACGCCGATGGTCCCCTCCAGCTCGGATTCCAGGGCTATGTCCCGCCCTCGGGCGTAGGGTTCATCGAGGCCGCTGCCGAGGCTCTGCAGATCCCCATCGTCGAGGACCACAACACGGGCAACAGCACCGGCGTGAAGCAGGGGACGGGCCACCTCGATGCCGGCTTCATGCGCAGCTCCAGCTACGATAGTTACCTCAAGCAAGCCGAGGGCCGGAAGAACCTTGACGTGCTGCACTTTGCTCCCGTGTGGAAGATCAACTTTGACCAGGCGGAAGAGGGGAAGAAGCCAAAGGCTGTGGGGGTTGCTTTCATGGACCATCCTACGGGTATTGTGTATGAGGTTAGAGCGAAGAAGGAAGTTATCGTCAGCGCGGGGGCGTTTAACTCGCCTCAACTCCTGATGGTTTCTGTGAGTTCCTCTCCAGTCTCGCGGAGGTGAAATGATAAACGGCAGATCATGTACTAACCTCGACCGCTTAAGGGAGTCGGTCCATCCTCCCAGCTCAACGAATTTGGCATCGAGCCCGTCCATATTAACGAGAACATTGGCCAGCAGTATGTTCTCCTGCTTCTACCTCCTCTCACATCGCAACTAACATAATCCCCTTCCCAAGCCTAAACGACCACTCCGTCTTCAGCATAATGGCCCTCTCGACACCCGAATTCTCCACAACAGACATGGCAGCAACCTATCAATCCCTCCGCGCCGCCCAGGACGAGTTCTACACCAACGCCACGGGCGAATACACGGCCCCCTCGGGCATCACAAACGCTTTCCAGAAGCTATCCGCCGACGAGCTGCAGGCCATTGGTGCGGGCGACGTCGTCGCCGCGGGGCTGGCGAACCAGTCGCACATTGAGTACCTCTTCGAGAGCGTGTTTTACCCGAGCGGGCCGACGCCGTATTACACGCCTCGCGGCAACGAGACGTACATTTCCCTCACGGCGTCGAGTATGGTGGCGCTCTCTAGGGGAAATGTTACGCTTAGATCGAACTCGATGGCTGAGACGCCGAAGATCAATCCCAATGTGAGTTCGACTTTGTTTCTTTCGTCTGCCGTGCCTATCTTTGAAGGCTTGTTCGGTTTTCTCCTTTCGATCCCTCGTCAGAAAGGTCAAGAAGAACAAAGGTAGGCTAACCCATTGTAAAACAGTACTACGCCCACCCAGCCGACCGCAAAATCGCCCTCGCCTCCTTCAAATACCTCCGCAAGATCCTCGCCCACCCGCGCATGTCAGAATACACCGTCGGCCCTTCCCACGGCGAAGTCTCCCCCGGCGCCGGCGTCTCGGAGGACGACGAGGACACCGTGCTGGCCTACGTCCGCGCCAACACGATTCCCAACTGGCACGCTTCCGGCACGAATCAGATGCTGCCCGAAGACAAGGGCGGCGTCGTGGACCCGCGGCTGAGAGTGTACGGCGTCGACGGGCTGCGGGTCGTGGATTGTAGCATCATTCCCATCTTGCCCGATGTTAATATCGTGGGGTCGGTGTATATGATTGGGGAGAAGGGGGCGGAGATGATCCGGGAGGATTGGGGAGATTTGTGATTGTGGTCTTGAATGAGTGGTGTCTGACGACGGTATATTTGGTGTCAATATGCTCAGCTCGAGATGCGATGTAGCTGTTGATGTTGTCTAATGTGGTAATGGATACATCTTACTTACAGTTGTCATTCACGGCCATTCATCTGCTTAACCAGATAGATACATTCACACGTTATTAACGGAGTCCACTAACCTCCGGGCCAAAACAATGAAAGTCAACAACCCGCCGTCCACTCTTACACAAGACTCCTGCCTGTCAGAGACCAATATCCCATCATGGCATCCAAAGGATCCCGGCAGACTTAATCCATTCTCGCCCAGACTTGTCATCTCAACTTTCTCAATCTTCTCTAGAGCCCAGAGACAACATGATACACTCATCCGACGACAAGAAAGACACAACCAGGGGTTCCTGCTCGCCAACCAGTCATCAAGGCAACATGAAGTCAAACAGCATGGCAATCTAAGCTACCAACAATGCCCATCACATCAAACGTGGCACCCCACCTTCAGTCGGAAAATCCGAGCCAGGAGACAGTAGCCCCAAATTGAGAGAGCCTCCAGAGTTCAGACTCCAGAGCTCGCAGAGGCCTCCTACTATCTGCTCTACCAAGCAGCCCCTTACAAGCCAAGGGTACATCACAGACAAGGGTATCAAGACCATAGCCACAAGAGAACGAACCCGAAGATCCAGACACCAGATGACAGTGATCTCCCAACCATGCCATTCGTCCATATCCTCGACGGCAGGTGGGGATTCATCGGAAGGTGGTCATCTCGTTGGACGGTTCGGCATGTCCTCTCCAGACTCTCTAGAGAACATGTCTAGCAAAAGACCTGTACCGAGCCGAAGCCAAGCCGTTTCGAAAGACGAGACGGTGACAGACAGGTCGTCGGCTGAAAAGATTCGGGGACGTGCTCACGGAAAACCCATGGGTGGTGGGAGAGCGTGTACACGGCATAGATGCACGGGGTGAGCAGATTCCTGAGAAACGCACGCGACGTTTCGTGCCTCATCTTGTACGACAGACCCATAATTCACCACCGTTGTGTAGGGCTCAGGGTAACACGCCGCGCAGACAACTCGCGACTTCAATAATGGAAGCAAACAGTGATGCACATGAACGAACAAGTGTAAATGAAATTTGAGAATTCTTTTGTATTCTTCAGATCGAGTTGCGGGAGCGCCCAATCTATCTAGTACACGATGGCCATGGCCAGCCGTAATCCCATCTCTTACTCGCCAATGTTAACAATCATCAATCATGCCGAACCAGCTTGGTTCCTATAGAATTCTTTTCGTCCACCGCAACACTCTTGAAATAAAAATAAGAAACTAGATGCCGTCCCGGTTCGGGTGTAGTTGATTCCCAGTCAATCCCAACGCCATGTCCCAGATATCAAGCTAGTATGCACAGGAAATGGTGTAGCGAACTCAAATGCCCATAGTAAGGTGCTAAAAGAAAGTATAGTAGAGAATGTGGTGTTTAAAGGAAGAGCGACTCCAGTCTGGCGAGGACTGGTTGAAGCGCGGCGTCGATGCGTTGCACCTTGGCCATGGCCACACATGCGTTCTGCTCATCTTCTGATGCGTCGACGAGTTCGTAGCGGGCAAGGACCTTCTCGGCTTCAACACCACCGAAGATCTCGGGTTGTGAGAGGGCTTCGGTGTCAAGCTCGACAGGAGCGGTCGCAGGGGCAGGGGCAGAGTGGTACAGAGCGAACTCAGGGTCGTTCTCGAACTCGTCGTCGAAGACCTCCTCGGTGGCAGGAGCCTGAGACTGAACCTCAGGCGCCAGGACCTTGGGAGCCTCAATAGTGGGAAGCTCGATCTTCTCGTCATCAGACTCGAATTGCTCGCCGACAAAGTTGGAGGACTTTCCGGAGAGGACGTTAGTGTCAATGGTGACGGGAACGTCGGGAGTCTCGAGAACAGCGAAGACCTGGGGTTGGAAGTTGTAGGCGTCGTTGTCAATGTTCAGCATAGAGAAGTCCATGTTCTGCTCAGGGAGCATGGCCATGCCGATCTGCTGCTGCTGGGTCTGGTTGGCGTAGGGGTTGATGTCCTTGGGAATCTGGCGCTGCTCAGCCTGTCTCTCAACCTTGACGGCGGGAGCTTGCTGCTGCTGCTGAGGAGCGGGCTGGGGATTGGTGCTGAGGTGGTCAAGGAAGTTGGAGAATGAGGGAGAAGCCAGGAGCATGCGAGTGAGATCCTGCAGGCGCTTGTTCTCGTCCTGGAGAGCACGGTTGTGCTGGCGAAGCTCGCCGTTCTCGGAGACCTTGTTGGCAATCTCTGCCTCGAGCTGGGTGATGTATTCTGCGAGGGGTTAGTAAGTGGATATTAAGGGCGTTGTGAAAGCGAAACTTACCCTTTCTGCGGGAACGGAAGGCGCGGGCGGAAACCTTGTTGCGGAGTTGGCGACGTTCCTTGCTGCTGAGCTTCTTGCCCTCCTCACTAGCGAGAAGTCTCTCGTCCTCGTCCATATCCTCCTCGTCCTTCTTGCATCTAGGCAGATTCATGAGAGGAGTGGGGCTGTCGCCCTCTTGAGCGGGCTTAGCACGCATGGAGTTGAGGAGCTGGGTGATCTTCTGCTCAACGATGGGGTCGGTAGGCTGCTGGCTTTTGGTGCGCTGCTTCTGACCCATCTGTTGGCGCTGCTGCTGCTGCTGAATAATTTGCTGCTGTTGCCTTTGCTGGGCCTGGGCCTTGGCAAGCGCAGCCTGAGAGTGCATGCCAGGCCAGAGGCGGCCAACGTTGCTCTGCTGGGAGGGGACCACGGGAGACTCCTGTCCGCCGATGGCAGTGGGGTTGACGGTAGTGTTGGGGAAGAAGTATTGAGAGTCCGGAGGGGAGTCAAACTCCATATCCATATCCAAGCCAGTAGAATTTTGGGACGGCGATGTGTTGAAGTCGAACATGTCGTTCTCCGGGCTCAAACCATTGCCCAAGTAGTCCATTCCGTAACCACTGTTGTAGCCGCTAATGTGAGAGTTGGCCTCATTCACGGCCAGGGTGCTGGCGAGGGCACCAGGAACGATGCCAGTCTGCTGCTTGTAGAGATCATACTGATGGCTAGGGCCAGTGAGAGGTTGTGATGCGGAGGGCATCGTCGGGGTCGCGACGGTGCTGACTGATGGGCGAGTGAAGGTGTTCTTGGCGGTAGCCGCGGGAGAGAGCGAGGGAGACTGATAAGACATGTTGTCGTACTCGCTGAAGTCGAGGAGGGCGTCGATGTTATCGACGTTCTGATTCGAGGTCGTCATTGCCGTCGAAGGAGGGTTCGTTCCCTTAGGTATCGGTGTAGATGGGTTTGGTGAATTCGGGTTCGGCACCGGTCTGTGGCGAACCTCTGTAGTGATTGTTGGACCCCGTACACGACGAGGTAGTGATCGATGCTTAGTACTCGTTTCGGTGAATGAGGCTCGTGACGATAGTTGACAATGCCTCAGGTGGGTGTTTCGTTTGGTGGTTTGATTGAAGTTGAGAAGAAAGAGGGTTTGAGAGGTGGGAGGAAGAAAGAGGAAAAGAGGACAAGAAGAGTGTTGAGATAGGCGGGAAGTTTAGGGGGGGTCTGGGCAGTGGATGTATGGGAAGCGTAACAAGAGGGATTGAGCACGGGGACTCCGTTTCTTGAATGATTTGGGTGCCTGGTCCTCGGAGTAGCAGGGGGGGAAGGCGGGCCAAGCGGATTCTGGGCGGGCTGAGCAGGGGGGTGGCCGCTGGGGGGAGTTGAGGAAGGAAGGGACCAGGAGTCCTGGGACGGGCGAGCAAGAGCGAGGGGAACGTACTTCGGTACTTCGGTACTTTGGTACTTTGGGAAGGGAGTGAAAAGACGGGATTGGGGTGAGAGAGAAGGAGAGAAGGGGAGCGCACTGAGCAAAAGACCAGAAAGCGCAAGAGGGAAGACGGAGGGAAGGAGAGAGACGACTGGGGCGCTGATGGGAGGGAAAGAGGGACGCGTAAGCCGATGGACGACGTGTCCTGATTGGGATTAGCGTGGGGAGATGAGAGAGACTGGGCCGGGCGTCCTTGGCTGACGGGCTGCACCTTCTCGTCGGGTGGGAAGGCAGGCAGTGGTGTTCCTTCCCTCTCGCTCTTTCTCACTCGTCCGTTCCTTCCCTTCCTCTACTGCGCACAGCGAGTAGGTATTCGTGCCAACATTGGAAGTGCAGGCAGGCAGAGGAAGGAGCTTCGGGCCAGAACCACCGTACTAGACCAGTGAACGTCAGGTACAATCGTCTTCGAAGGTGGGTGGGAAAGTACGAATTTACGAAATGTCAGGTACCTTCCTGCAGCGACGCACACTTACAATGTACACGTCTGCGGCCTGAGGATGACGACGCCAACTGCCCTTTTCGGCTCAGTCGTCGACGAGTACTCGACCATTCGGTCGCAGTGATTCGCTCCTGGTGGTCCCCATTTCCTTCATTTTCTGCGCCTTTTGGCTTCCAGGTTCTTTTGGTGAACCTCCGGAGCGCTGTGGAATTCTACGTGGATTCGCAAGCTCGTCACTCGCCAGAACAGCGACCGCTTGTTTTGATATTGAACTCGACCACTGGCTCTGTCGCCTGTCGCCTGCCGCCCAACCACAAGCAATGGCGCGATGTCGCCGTTTCGAAATGTTGCTGACGACGACTCGACGACGCACGCTTATTGAGAGAACTTTTTTGACTTTTTTTCTCCAGTCCCTCATTTTCGTCTACACTACCGACAGAGACGAGATCTGATTACCCGCCCATGTTATCATCAATTTCCCCTCGTTGATGTTGGTTACGGCTCTACGATATCGTCGTCGATGATGAATCTGATGTCAATCCCCTCCCCCATTGTCGTGGCCTTTCTAATTCTTCCGATAAGACGGAGCAGAATCTGGCCGACAGACAGACAACAACGAAGCCGCAACCTCGAGGTTGGTGAGATGACAAGATGACGGGGCCGCGTATTGTTCGGGCGCGAGATCAAATCCGAACTGAGCGAATCGCTGCAAATAATAATCCAAGCCAAACCACACAGGCGCCTCGCCTGGCGCTTTGCCGTGCTGAGTGCTGCTGAGTGCTGACCCGAGCCGACCAATTCACTGCCCGACGGAGACGGGCGGCGGGAAGTTCTGGTTGTGCGGCGGCGGCGCACCCTCCCCTGTTCGCTTTCGCTTGCGAGGTCGATGACAGGTACTGAGTACTCGATACTACGCCCAAGATAATCGCAGTCGCATGTAGCAATACCTACGGTGCCGCTATCCCGGGTGTGGCTGTTCCAGTTGGCGCTCTGCCTCTTTTTTGCTTTCGGCGTGGGTTGATCGTCCGTCGACGTTGCTCTGAACTCCTATTCTTCCCACCATCAATCAATCAATGGCCCTCGTTTGGTTCGTTCAAAAAGAAGGTTGTTTATGCTCAGCCTCAATCACCGAACCAACCAACCCATGTTCGTCGATTCAACTCGTTCCAACAACCTGGCCGAGCTGCTCACGATGGGCTTGGAAATTCGCCATATGCAAATACCGACCGCCTGTCCGCCTCTCTAGTAACAATATGCTTCTTACCGTCGCCGCGCAGAACAGTACGGATACAGGCCGTTGTCTGTGGCATTTCAGCCCCCATATCAAGGCAATCCAGACACACCTTGACACAGCATTCCCACTTGCGGCAACCTTTTTCAACTTCCACGCCTCCCCTCGTCTACCATTCTTCGAGGCACTGGGAGCAGACTGGTCTCGGCGACTAGAAACACGGCGTGGCATAGATTTTCACTTGCAAGTTGCAGCCACGGTGCTTCGTCCGGGCCACTGCCCACATCACGAAAATGTCTCTCCGAAAAGGCTCACTGGTCTCCGTCCGAGCTTCAAGGAGGTAGTCGAGGAGGTGATGGAAGGAGTCTACACTACGGCGTTTGGCCATGCGCTGACACCAGGCCGTCCCATACTCGCGGCTCCAAATCCTATTCAGCTCGCCCCCGAAGCGGAAGTTGTGCCGCCGTCCGTTATTCACGGCATTAACACCTGTAAAAGAGTTTTCGTCCAGGGAGCTAGACCCAAAGTCAGACCTGACGGCAATTCTAGGCGTCTCGTTCGTTCCCGACTTCCGCAAAGGACTGGGCCCTCAATGTGGTCGGTGGTTAGATCCCATTCAGGGGATCGCCCCGTTCGTTCTGGAAATGCCGCCCATGATCATTCAATCCTGTGGGACGCTTTTGTGATTTCCGTTCCCTGACCCTACCGCGATAATTCATGCACTGCCACCACGGCCGTTATCACTATCGAAATCACCAAATCACCCACCGCCCACGTTTGATTCGCTCATCTGCTTTTCGTATGGGCTGTGCCGTTGATACCCCCCTAGGGGAAAAGACTCGGGACACGGCGTGGCTCAGATGAGCTTCTATACGCACTACGCAGTCAGTCAGTCGAGCTGCTTATCCGTCCACAAAGTCGCTGCCAACCCAGCCTTGTCGGGCGTTGGACCACGGCGATAGCCCTGGATGCTGGCAATAAACAACAAGCCCTCAACACCAAAACGGGAACAATTCTAGCGAATTAGACTTTGGCTTAACGGTCGCTGCAGCATCATACATTTTGCATCACAGGTCTTGCTCAACTTCACTCCCCACACTTCAGCAGGCGAACGTCGACCCGCAGGCCCTCCCAATAAGGTCGATACGCGATGGAAATTGGGCTTGTTACGGCCCCCAGACTCGAGGCGAATCTCATGTTCCTCGCCATCTCGTCTACCCTTGATACGCGCAATCTGGACCGTGAACCGTCCGTCCACTTTTTGTCACTTTGGGGCACTTGCTCAAGATGGGTTCGCAGACGTCTCAGTCTCCATTTCAGCTTTTGACAATCTCCAGAGTCCAGACGACTGTCAGCCCTTTCGCATCGCGAGACTGAGCCGAATATCGAACGCTGGTGCCGCGATGACTGAGAGTCTGATCAAGAAAGACCTGAAGCCAGTACTCCCCAAGTTTCCACACTACGGCAGAACACCCCGGCGCCGTTTCGGCATTGCTGTAACAATGCTCCTCGCTAGTACTACGGGCACCGTCTCGGCTTTCTGGCACCTCGCTCTGGCCCCACCGGTCCCGAAGGTCCTCCCACATTCCCGACGTGCCGACTTTCTCGAGTCTCGCCGCTTCGCACACGCCGCAGTGGGCTAATGTCACCAGCATAAGACTCGACCGTCAGCCGTCTACCAACCATCAGTGGGCGTGGGCTTACATAACGAGCTAAACCTTGCATTAGCTGGGCTGCTTAGTGGTTCACAAGTTTTCTTATGAGCCGCTGCCAGACCACGCCCCAGCCAAGCGCGAACCATGACGTTGCGTAAACAAAAATAGAAAATATGTGCGCTTTGTTTCACCTGCGGCACCTTCACAACCACGACAACCCACAGAGTCCCGGGAGCGAAATCCAGAATGCCTTGTCAAACGACAACGGGTTGCTTCCAAGAGCCAACTAGGGACCGCCGTAAACCCCAGTTCTCCATTTCCGCGGCTGGTTCCTACTGGCCAGCTCACCGGCCCCCAATACCGGCAAGGCTCTTTTTCCCTTTTGGTGTGGGAAAACGCCTTCTGACGGACTATAACGGACAATAGGGGCTTCGGCATCAAGAACCGCAACATTCGATGATTTCGACAACCAACCAGACATCACCCTTGACCTCAAACTCGAAAGAGCCGCTTGAAGGGGGCCCTGCCATCCCATGTTTCGATGCTTAGTAGACACCCCGTACCGCACCATCAATCAACCCCTCCGATTCTCGCGGGAACGGCGTCGGTTTGATCGCCCACATCGGCGCATCACCAGGAGTCTGGAGAAGATCTAGGGAGATGTACTCGTACATAGCTGTGGCATATGCGGGCCACGGCGACTGACAGGCTGACAGACTTCAGAACGGCGGCGGCCCCTTCGACCTCGGGGTTCTAGAACGTCGACTCTACATACATTCCTTTGCCCCCTACACTTTTCCCCCCTCATCGCGAAGAGCTGAACTCTAGGGTCCGATCATCCCGAATCTTATCAGTTATGGTATATCCACCTTACAGTTCGGAGCAAAAGCCTGTTCAATGAAAGGCTTGTTTCTGCTGATCGAAGATGTTTGCCCTCAGGTCATTTCGCTGACTGGGCCTCCACCATGAATTCTCTTTGAGGGGTTCACTCATCGTTTTTCTCAACTGACACCGGCCAATACACCCTCATGCCTACTTACGTGCTCCCACATTCCACGATATCTTGTTTGGAAAATCATCTCCACAATAGCAATTAACTTGT